CTGGAAGGGAGGGGGGGGAGAGCCCCGCCCCTTCTGCTGAGGCCCCGCCCCTTTCCCACCCCCCACAGGGAGGCAGGGCAATGCACCCCCCAACCATGGGGAGAGGAGAGGAGGAGCTGGGTGTGCACTTGCCCCAGCCGCAGGGCACCGGGGAGGGAGGAGGCCGCACGGCCCCAGCCCTGGAGCACGGGGAGGGCAGCGCTGGGGGCAGCAACACTCCCCTAGAGCAGGCGTTCTGGGGGCGGAGCGTGGGCGGGGCCAGCCTGGCGGTTTGGGAAGGCAACGCCTCCCCCTGCCTCACGCACCAGACACTCGTGTCTGTTTCCAAGGGCTTGGCTGCTTGGTACTTTTGACAAGTGTTCTAGACTGGCCCCTTCTTCGGGAGGGGCCGGAGAGTAGCGGGCGCTGTGTACAGATAGACCCCAACTGGCCCGAAAACGGCCCCTTCCCCGGTTTTCACACCCGGTAGGAAATCCCGGGATGGTGCAGCTGAGCTCTGAGCCGAAGAGGGAGCCCCGGGGAAAAACGAGGGGCAAGGGGTCTCTGTGAGTGAGGGCAGGGCTGAGCTGAGAAGCGGCGGGATAAATACGGCCAGGCTGGAGCACTGAGGTGCCAACATGGCACCAGGCCTGGGCCCCTGTGTCACCCAGACTCCTGCTCCTTGGGGTAACGCCTGCTCTCTCGTCCCTTCTGGCTGTGACAGGCACGGCCCCAGAGAGCTGGTCTGCGAGAAGGACGCGTTCCCCAAGAACAGGTGTCACATCCGCTACCACCAGCTCTTCTCCACTGTGAAGTACAAGGTGACCTTGACGGTCACGAACGCCCAGGCCTGGGCCCCTGTGTCACCCAGACTCCTGCTCCTTGGGGTAACGCCTGCTCTCTCGTCCCTTCTGGCTGTGACAGGCACGGCCCCAGAGAGCTGGTCTGCGAGAAGGACGCGTTCCCCAAGAACAGGTGTCACATCCGCTACCACCAGCTCTTCTCCACTGTGAAGTACAAGGTGACCTTGACGGTCACGAACGCCCTGGGGGCTCTCGGGGCCGGGCGGGCGCTTCCGCTTGCTCGGCGCGGGGCACGAGGCTGCCTGCCTTTGTTCCCGGGAGAGGAGCCCAGTCGACTGCCCTGTGCACAAAGCCTTGTGTTATCCTCAGAACGGGATCAGCCAGCGTAGGGCTTCCCTGTGTGCTTTCCCCGTGGTCTGCGGGGACTCCCTCGCGTCAGGAAAGGGAGATGCATTCAGTGGCTGCGGATGGGAAGAGAGCCCACGTCAAGCCCCTGAGCGTTTCGTTTAGGACGTGGGCCGCAACCCGTTTCGGTGGGACGTGTTCCTGGCGGTGTCAGCCCAGGGCATCGTCTCTAAATTCCCAGGGAACTCCCGGACGATCCTGCCCGAGCTGTGACCACTAGCGAAGCCACCAAACCACTAGTGAAGCCACCAAGCCGATGACCACGCCAGGTGGTCACAACAGAGCCATGCAAGGTTTGAAATGGGCCGCCCCCGGGCTGTCGGATTCCCTGCTAAGGGCCGGCTGCGGGGCCTGTGTCCCAGCTTGGGCAGCCGGCCCGCCGGCTCCGAAAAGCGCCCTCTGCTCCTTTCGACGTGGGGCGGGAAGCAGAGCTCCCATGGCGCGGCTCTGCTGCCCGGCTCCCGTTCTGAGCAGGGAGAAAGACGCGCCCGGCAGGAACTGGTGCGTGAGAAGAGGGGGTTACGATTCGCACCGGACTGCTTCGTTCCCTGTTCTCCCTCATCCGGCCAGGGCGCAGAAATCACACGGCGCAGCTCCTGGTCACATGCCAGGAGCAATGGACAGTCCCGGCGAGGAATTCAGGGGAAGCCCGTAGGCCGAGTGGTGTCCCCACAAAGCAATGGCTAAGTAGCTCTCCAGGGTTTGGCATCAGCTGCCCGGAGAGAGGCAGGCGCCTCGTAGGAGAGGGAACAGGCAGCAGACCGATGCGACAGGCTGTTGTTGAGCATGTGCATTGTGGCAGCACCTGGAGGCCTCGGTCTAGCCAGGCCCCCTCGTGCTGCGTGCCTTAAGAGACATACACTCAAAGGCTCCCCCCGGCCAGCCAAAGGAGAAATTGCCCTGGCCCCTTTAAATCACCGCTGGAGCACCACGCCATGTGCTCCGGCCTGTGTTGAGGGCTGGGGCAGCACACAGTACTCTGGGCGGAGCTTCAGGCAGGCTGCTGCTGGCCCCACCCCTTCTGCCCCTGCAGAGGCTGTCAGCTCGCGGGCTATCCCTTCCCAAGAAACACACAGCCTTCATGGAAGAGAAGTGGTGGGTGACAAGCCAACAGGAGGAGGAGCGCTAGCTCTAGTATCTCTTTCTCTATGCACGTTTTCCTAGACCAGGGCCGCCCTAAGCTACGTTATGGGTCCACAATTCACAGGTGACCCCGGCTGCTCGCTCAGCAGCCATCGCACCCAGTCACCTGTATCCCTTCCCAAGAAACACACAGCCTTCATGGAAGAGAAGTGGTGGGTGACAAGCCAACAGGAGGAGGAGCGCTAGCTCTAGTATCTCTTTCTCTATGCACGTTTTCCTAGACCAGGGCCGCCCTAAGCTACGTTATGGGTCCACAATTCACAGGTGACCCCGGCTGCTCGCTCAGCAGCCATCGCACCCAGTCACCTGCTTAGCTGTAGTGCGCCCTGGGCCTTTATTGAACGGGCTGCCGGATCCACTTGACCCATACGATCCTAGAGACCTCGAGGGTCATGCGTTCTGGGTAACTGCTTACCCCTTTACATCCCGAGTCCCACCCTACGCACCATGGGTCCTGGTCCAGGACTGGGTCTCATAGGTACTTTGATAATACAAAGAATCCTAAAACCCTAGAACTGGCAGGGACCTCGAGGGGTCATCGAGTCCAGTCCCCTGCCCTCACGGCAGGACCCAACACCATCTAGATCAGTGGTTCCCAAACTTTTCGGCATCACGCCCCCTTTTTGATTGTGAAGAAACCCTCACTCCCCCCCCCCCCCACACACACACACACATTCCACAACCTCCCTGGGCAATTTATTCCAGTGTTTAACCGCCCTGACAGTTAGGAACTTTTTCTTAATGTCCAACCTAAACCTCTCTTGCTGCAGTTTAAGCCCATTGCTTCTTGCTCTATCCTCAGAGGCCAAGGAGAACAATTTTTCTCCCTCCTCCTTGTGACACCCTTTCAGATGCTTGAAAGCTGCTCTCATGTCCCCCCTCTGTCTTCTCTTTTCCAAACTAAACAAGCCCAATTCTTTCAGCCTTCCTTCATAGCTCATGTTCTCTAGACCTTTAATCATTCTTGTTGCTCTTCTCTGGACCCTCTCCAATTTCTCCACATCTTTCCTGAAATGCGGTGCCCAGGACTGGACACAATCCTCCAACTGAGGCCTAATCAGCGCAGAGCAGAGCGGCAGAATGACTTCTCGTGTCTGGCTCACAACACTCCTGTGAATGCAGCCCAGAATCACATTTGCTTTTCTTGCAAGAGTCTCACACAGTTGACTCATGACATCATCGGTGTTATCAGACATCTCATTTGCCTTTGATACTGTCTGCCTAGGTCTAGAAAAACTTTGGCTGCGTCTAGGCGCATCTCAGACTTTGTCATCACCTGCTGGATTGAGCAGGTCAGATGAAAATATCCCAGCTGTTCTTGTGTTGCTGGCCAAAACCTGATTGAAAATGTAAATGCAAGAATTAGCTAACTTGCCTTCAGTTTCCATCAAGATTCATATTATCTTCCACTTTTGTTAGGAGACAAGGCTGGGAGGAGTCATGTGTTTCACCAGAACAAATGTGTCCATTCTTTAAAAACCAAGAGAGAGAGCAAAGCCTAGAACCAAATAAAACAATTTGTTGGTTACGTGAATGCAGCATCAATTATTGGTGGAGATGGGCAAATAAATGGTATCCTTGTATCCCGGCCCATGTTCAGTCAGTGCATAGGACGTAGTGAATATGTCGGTTGTGGGAGAGGGAGAGATGGTCAAAGTCCAGGCTTGGGCTCACCCCTGTGTTTTTTTAAATTCAGAATGGAAATCAGGACCCAGATCTTAACAGTGGGGCAGGAAGTGTTTGTACAGCACCTACTGCAATGAAGTTGTGGTCCGTGTCTAAGAGCCCTAGCCACCACGATAATACGAAGAGCGACTCTTCCTCATCACAGTTGGAAGAGCTCACCCTGGGTTGCGGAGTATTATACAGCATTGGGGGCACATAGTCACTACAGGGATATTTCAAAATAACAAGGTGCGCATCCACACAGCAAGCCCGTTATTTTGAAATGATTTCACAATAACGAGCTTGCTGTGTAGATGCTCACCTTGTTATTTCGAAATAACATGAGTTATTTTGAAATAACGCTGCAGTGTAGACCTGCTCTTATTTTTAGAGAGTTCACAATAAAAACAATTTATTTTAATTTATTTGAGAAATCATTTACAGGTTGGCTAGCTCATTGCTAATGGAATATGGAATCTTTCACCTTGATAAGACCACTGGTTTCAATCTGGTCCAAACTGTTGGCATACAAAAATGAGTAATTGCAAATAATCTGCTGGATTATGTGAAATGAGCTGTGCATATGAGAAAACCACGACATCCACTGGCACTGATTGACACTTCTGATGGGAATCTCAGCAAGGCATATTGCGATTGGGTAAGTCTACACTATGTTCCTCTTTCGAGAAAGGAATGCAAATGCAGCCTAGCGAAATTGCAAATGAAGCACGGGTTTGAATTTCCCGCACTTCATTTGCATAATCGCGTCCGGACGCTATTTCGAAATACCCTATTTCGAGATAAAAAACGCCATGTAGACACGGTTATTTTGAAAGAAACCCCTTCTTTCAAAATACCTTACTTCTCAAAAAATAAAAGCGCAGATCCTCTACTGAGGATGGAAGGGAAGCTAATGACTGGTAAGGTCAAGAAGGCAAAGATGTTTTATGCCTATTTTGAATCACTCTCCACTGAAAAGGTCACTAATGGGGACCAGATATTAAACACACTTAATAGCAACAACAAGCGGGAAGGAAAGCAAGACGAAGTCAGAAAGAGCAGGTTAAAGAATGGTTAGATATGTTAGACATAGTTAAATACACAGGGCCTGATCAAATTCATCGTAGGGCACTTTAAGAACTAGCTGAAGCAATCGTGGGACCGTTAGCGCTTTTCTTTGAGAACTTGTAGAGGACAGCAAGGGGCTAGACAGCTGGAGAAGAGCAAATGTAATGCCTGTCTTTAAAAAGGGGACCCAGGAATGATAGACCAGTCAGCCTAACTTCGATACCCGGAAACATATTGGCACCAATGATTAAACAATCCCTCTTTACGCACCTCGCGAATAAGGTTAGCTAGCATCGACTTATCGAAACCAAATCATGCCCAACAAATCTCATTCCTTCTTTGACAGGGTTACTAGCCTACTGGAGAGGAGAGGAGCAGGAGACGTGGTATATCTTGATTTTAGTAAGGCTTTTGACATAGTCCCGCATGACAGTCTCAAAACAAAAAAGGGGGAGGACTGAATGGGGTCTAGATGAAATTACTATAAAGCGGGGGCACAACTGGTAGAAAGATGGTACTCCGAGAGTAGTTATCAGTCATTTGCTGTCAAACTGTCAAACTGGGAGGACCTATCTGTCCCTCTGTTGTCGGCCTTAGGACCAGTAGGAATCAATATTGGGATCAATATTGTCATTAATGACTTGGATAGCTGACTGTGGCCCCTGCCCGCAGTCACTTTGGAGGACAGGACCAGAATTCACAATGACTTTGAGAAATTGAAGAATTGGTCTGATTTTAGCAAGATGAACTGCAAGAAAGCCAAGTGCAAAATAGTGCACGTAGGGAGGAAAAATCAAATGCCCAACCCCAGAATGGGGGCTAGTACAGCTGAAAAGGATGGGCGTGTTATAATGGATCCCAAATTAAATATGATCCACAATGTGATGCCATTGCAAAAAAATGCGGATAGAATTCTAGAGTGTGTTAACGGCAGCATTGTATGTAAGACGTGGAAGGTAACTCTCCTGCTCTACTCAGCAC